ATCTCACACTGCGGCTTCCAAGTCATAACACACAGACCTGTAGAGAACGGTTCACTCGTCTTAATTAACCTTTACCGCCCCGGGCTCACTGCCAGCCTGGTGCCCGCGGTTCTCTTTTCAGCGAATGGCCTGTGCTTTTAGGCTGTGGCGCAGTGACACCGCACTACAGTGTGAAAATGTTAATCTGACATCACCAAAATCTCAAACACTGCTCATGTTTTTTTGTCAGCCCCCTCCCACGCTATATGACACCAAGACCCACCCTGGTCCTGGACGAACACAGCTGCTGCTCGTTTTCATTACAGCAGAGCCCTACATCTCCAGTGCTCAGTAATGGCTTCATTTATCTGCTTCTTTGTTCACACAAACTTTGTTTTTGCAGTTCTGAGTGTCACAAACACCTGAATTCAAGGGTACGGCTTGGACCAACTTCAGCATTAAGAACTTTACAAAGCCTCTTCTCAGCCTGCTGCCTGTTACTTGTGACTTATCAGCTCTTACTAGCTGATGAGCAGACACAGGTAGCGCAATGACACCCACAACGGGCATTTTTTCCTTCTCCGATTGGTCACATTTCAGGCACAAAGACTGATTGAGGTCAGGTCTGAAGCTCAGAATATAGTACAGGATTGATACCATAAAAAAAAAAAAATCTTTTGACCTCTTCAGACACAAAGGAAAACTTATAAATATGTCCCAAACAGAAAACTAAAATCAATGAGCCTCAACAAGAGTAAGAACCATCTATAAGACCATAAACTAGAAAAGACAGTGATCCCCTAGGGACAGGGTGGGAAACTACTTTCTCTATATCAAGAAAAAAAAATAAAGCTTTTGAGAGCATAAAAAAATGCCGGAGCTGCAGCAATGCTAGACCCAGCAGAGCTTGCTTCAAACTCAGCAGAGACACCTGAATATCTCTAGACTGATTTAAGAGACAGAAATAAAAGACACGGAGCTGTTTATCACGGCGTGAAAGACCGGCAACGAGAATGGATTACTGTTGCTTCTACACAAGTTGTCCACTGTCATAACAATATAATTACATGACTATAGCTGCAATCACAATAAACCTATGTAAAGCATCAGTATTCACCAAGATAATCCTAGTACACGGAGAATAATGATCAAACTAAACCTGCAATTACTGAGTTTTCATTCAAAGCCTACACAGATAGCGTAACAACCTGTATAAAGCCACAACAGCCTAGAATTCAGTCATACTTCATTTGTGCTTTCCCCCTGCCACTAAGTTGTGTGGGACCTTTAAAGAACACACAGTCCATGCCAACCTCAGCCGGAGAAGCAGGCAACTGTCGCAACACGCCGATGACGCACGCGCACAGCGCATGCTTTGGCTCACTCTGCGCAGATTAGTCAAGCTTGCGATGATGTCACTTCCTGAACTGGAAGGTGCGCTTCTTGCTCATATCTGTGACTTACGCAGCAGCGTAATCGGACAGCACCATCGCATCCCAAAGCGGAACGGCCAGCAAAAGGGATCACCAGAGCACATGGCACACATGTCCATCCTACAGCCCAATGATCTCATTTCAGACTGCCTATTGGCACTGGAGGAAAAGGAATTAGGGGTGGATCCGGAAGAAGAATGTTCTGGGGCACTCATCCCCTTCGAAAGGCAGAGGGCATTGCTCATCGCTTCTGAATAAAACCGAGTGATCATCTACACCCCCATGACACGGCACTGCTTTCCTGCCAGGAGGGGTGTTGCTCAGAGGATTTAAAAAAAAATTGTCTCAGGGGTACTTCACAATCCAGGCAGTATTTAGGAGACATTCTGGAACTACTCCCGAGACCCTCTTCTTCCTCTGTGAACCAGAAGTGAGCTGGCGTGCTTGTTTCCAAACACACTTTGCAGATTCTCGTAAACTCTACGCCACTGTGCATAAAGGCCCTAGGTAGTGGGCCAATGCTGTAATAAGTGACTTTATATTAGAGCTCCTTTTCTGGTCTCTATCTATATACTAACTGTTGTACATGTTCAAAGATTTGCTTGCTGTAAAATTAAAATGGTCAGATATTCGTGGCTTTTGTTTACATCCATTTACTTTAATGTACTTTAGCATATACTGAGAAAAGGAAGTGACATCTATGATTCAATCTATGACCCCCCTCAATGAAAACTTAATAAAACTGAGATGGTTTCCTTCCCATTTTCCTGAACTATAGTAGCAAACAGCTGAAATAATAAAATAATTCAGAAAATTCTCTGTTTATCCCACGGGATACTGTTCACTGTGTGTGAGAAACAGAAACGGGACAGCGAGCCTTTTTTAAAGCTCTAAAAAAAAAAAAAGCTAAGCGAACACAACAGAAACAAAAAGGGAAATGAGGCTGGTCAC